GGCGCCGCCTTCTCCGCCTCCGAGTGCGGCGAGGGTGGGCGCGGACGGGGCTCGGGTTGAGGGGTGTTCTGAGCGAGCCCCAGTCCGAGTAGACGGTGGGCTGAGGGTGTCCCTGGAGAGTTGCAGTTTAGGTCTGTGAGGCTGAGAGGACCCGATCCTGTTGCTACTGTGAGGGGCCGAAGATGGCCTGATCTGTTTTTACCCCGAGGCATTTCTGGGGACAGTGACACAGGACTGGACGGACAGAGCAAGGGTGGCACCTCTTCAGTTACGGTGCTGTGCATTTAGGATGTGAGCGTGCCAAGAAGAAAGTAGAAAAGATATTCCTGGGGGCTTTGAAGGCGAGTTTCTCGAAGGAAAAAAAAAAACTTGGCATGACTTTTACAAAATTTATATACTTTCACTTTATTTTTAGGGAATTCAGTAAAATGAAGTCATCTTACAGAGACCTCATTTCATTTTCCAGATTAAAGCATTACTAGATCAAAAGCGAGCCTGTTTTCTCCAGATTAAAAAAAAAAGTAAAGACAAGGAGTTGTGATAACTTTAAACAGTGTAGTAGGTGACGTGTTTATTATTCGTGGGAATCATCACCCTACCATACATTCTCAAAATTTTCTGGGGTGTTTCCATAGAGATGTGTATGTATACTTTATCATTTTCTAACTAGGATAGTCTTAAGGCAGTGAAACCCAGTATGGCTGCAAGAGTCCTGGTTAGTTTCTCTTTCAGGTTTTCTTTTACAGTTGAGCCTGGTTAACTGGGAAGAATTTAAACCTCTGCTTGTGAAAGTAAATGGATTCTCTTTAAAGTGTTCATTTGATGACAAAGGGGCAGTTTAAAAATGTGTCCATATGACATTGTCAGTTATTGATAGGAAATATTTCTTAAAAGCCTGGAGTTTCTAGAATTTCGTTCTTGGTGAAGTTAACTCCTATTTCAGAAAATAGAATCTTGGAAAACTGCATGTTATTTTAGAAATAGCTCTTCCCTGTTTTGAAAGTGGGGGGAGAACTGACAGCATTGCTTTTTCTACAAATAGATATTTGAATGTACATTGTACTAGATTCTGTTTTAAACAGAAACCAATAGTCCAAAAAGACATGGTTTGTTGGAGGCGTTTTCCCTTTTTCTGCTGACATTGGTATGTTTTATAAGGGCAGCTGACCAATTTTCAGTTTTTGTTTATCAAAACATTTTGAAAACTGAGGGAGAGCCACTTGTTTTCTAGCCAGCAGAAATAATCTGTTTCAGTAATTACCAAAGATGATTTAATTTGTAAGAAAAATATATTTATGTGTGAAAAAATTAACTACTTGGTACACTTTCAACATGTAGCATCAAAAGAAAAGTAAACAGAATATGGCTTTTCAAAGGAATTCATCTTGAATTCCTCACCATTGTCAGTGTAGATGTCTCATAAAATGTTTCTGAGGAAGTAATTATTCTTCACCTCACCTCTGTGCTTTGGGAAACATAGTGTTCTTCCTTACAATCCGCTAGGCAGTTCATTGCTTCCACCTTAGCAGCTCTTGGTGTATTCAGCCATGGGGTTTTGGGTTTGTGGTGTCTTCTGTATAGAAGGCCTCATATAGACTGATCAGTAGGAGTGAACTTGTACTTGTCCTCATCAGTAGGAGGGATGAATTTGCATTCAGTCATGTGCACACCCCTGTGATTGTCATTTAGGACATAGATCTGGTGTTTTGGAAGCAGTACGAGCAGATTATCCTGTAAGGACATTGGCTAGGCAGCCCTTATTTCACTCACATCTTAATCTTCCAACAAAAGTGCAGTGGTTGCATTTGTTTACACCCTCCTCGGCCAGATAGCAGAGGTGCAGTTTCAGAGGGGAAACCTAAGACCCCTGGTCTTTTGAAACTTATGTTTTAGTGGTAGTCGTGGGGAAGACAGAAAATAAACTAAACGCAGTGCTCTCAAATAGTGATGTTACGATAAAAATAAAACTTGGGAGTGAGTGGGTTAGCGTGTGCAGGTGGGCGGAAGGCTTTTCCTGTGAAGCTAACATTGAGGTGAGGCCAGATTGGAGAGTAGAACTCAGTCATTGGGAGACATGACTGAGTGAGGGAGAAGCCACAGGCTACAGGGAAGTTGTTCTGCTTCAGGACAGCTGGAGGGAAGAGATCAAGAGGACAGAGGCCTCAGGCTCCCTAGGGGACGTGGGAAGGGGTCAAGTGCTGCACTTTGGGTCATATGAAGGGTTCTATTCCAGGTCAAATAGCCAAAAGAGGGTTTTAAGCAAGGGCATGACATGGTCTCGTATTTTAGAAAGTATTTCACTGAACTCAGTGTCAATTGTAAGACACACAGTTTTATGTAACACTGAGGGGAAATGCTGTGAATTAAACGGATATGCCGTGGAGTTTCAGAAACATTCCAATTTCAAAGATGCCAAACTATGAAAAAGTATATATTGCAAAATGAGGAAAACATGGTACAGTACTCACTGGTACAGTACTTGTTAGACCAGGCTAAAGTTTTCACCATGAAAAGTCTCTAATGTGAGCATTTTATGATCAGAATAAGCAACTTAGTGTGTTATTCTCTGGTTCTTCTGGAGTCATGCCGTGTTCCTTTTCTGTACTCTGGATGTGTTGTTGAGGGTGGTGCCGGAAGGTATCTCTTACTGTCCTTATCCATCTCTCTTGGCAGTTCTGATACCTGCTATGCAATTACCCTGAACAGCAAAGACGTCCTCACTGGAGACGAAGAGACATTGACGTCGTATGGGATTGTTTCTGGGGACTTGATATGTTTGGTTCTTGAAGATGCCATGTCGGCACCTAACTCGCCTCCATCCACGGATTCAGAGCATTTCTCCATCCCGAATAATGACCAACCCTCTCTGGCTGCCTCCTCCAGCCAGGCCAGCGTCCCAGATGAACGACAGAGCGACTTGTTCCAAGGACAGGCAGCCCAGTCTGGTGTCGGGCATGATGACAGCATGGTGGGTATCAAAATGACAGACCAGGATATGGCAATTCTGAGATGCTAATCTGTTTCCTGACCAAAGTCACAGTTGAATAACTGTGTTCAGTAAGTGTCGATTCGGTGTGTCTACTTACACAGTTTGTATGCTGTCCTTTTTTTTTTTTTTGGTACTGGGTGTATGCTGTTCTTTATGGATGTTGTATTTCAGTTTTTAAAACTTCAAGAGACTTTATGCACAGGTGTTACATGTATTCCTTGATTTAGACTTGATTTGGAAAATGAGCTACAGATGTGTTTTTATTACTGCGTGAATATGGATGTTTGCATTCAGTAATATCGGGAATTCTGGTGATTGTGTTCTTTGTGGCAGTACTGTTACGAATGGGTTGAAAGTGCTTTCTTTTTTTGCAGCACTATATGTGAAAATAGGGTTAGAGCTGTGTATTGTCTAATTTCCTTTATAATGTTTCTGCAAAACAATTTTTGACAGAAGATACGGTAAAATATTAACTGCTATTAAAATTTATTTACTTTACACTATTCATTGTCCTTTCTGGAATGTGTGAAAACTTGCCATAGTAATACAAATTAAGTATGTGGGTTAAATTTTTAGAGAAACAAGGCTGTAAACTAGAGTAGTTGCCAGGTCGCACGGTCACCTTGGCTGAGTCTGTCCAGTAGGGTCTTTCTCGGCACAGAGGATGTTCTTGGAGAGTGTTTTCCCGTTCACCACCGGATGCCTGCACCAATGAGGCCTGACTTCTGGGGTCCATTGCCTACCGATTTCTTTTCTTTTTTTGGTACTTTGTGATTGAACTCCGGACCTTGTCCAGACGCGGTGCCACTGGACTGCATCCCCGGCCCTCCCTACCAACTTCTTTTGTTCAGATAATCGCTCTTCCAGATCAGTTCTCCCTTGGTTTCTGTTTGGTCTGTACGCCTCGGTGTCCCAGCTTTTCTGCTCTGTCTGCACCAGCCATCAAGGCTGCGTGCATAGTGCAGTTATTCTGTGATGTGCCTCTGCACCTGGAGCTGTCAGTTGTCAGCACGGACTGTGCGTGGCGTAAGCTTGGTGAGAATGTGGGCCGGCTCCCCCGACCTTCAGTGTCGCTGCCGTTTTCTGTGCCGTTGACTCTCCATCTCCACCCTTGGTCAGGGCTCCTTTTCTATTCAGGTTGTTTGTGTCTGTTTTTCAATCTGCCTTCTAGGTTTTTCCTCCTGTGGTTTTCATTATGGTGTTCCTTGCTCCTTAATAATTCCATGTCATAGGTAACACTCAGAATTTGGGAGCTGAAAAGACCAAATATCCATTTCATCCCTGCTGCTTCACAACAGGCAGTGTCATGTGTGGTCTGGTACCTGGTTTTGGTTTTCAGGGCTTTCTCTCTCTGAGGAGTCGCCTCACCCAGCCTTTCCCGGACCGGTTTGTGTGTCCGCCTATAAGTCACGTGTGCAGATGCACAGCCTGGTACCACTGGGCCTTTGCTCTTCGTCCACGCCCAACCCGCTGCTTCTCCCTCGCCTGTCTGTACTTTTGTCCATCCTCTGAGGCCCTTGCCAACCGTAGCCTGGTGGTATGATCTTTTCTGTGTGGCTTGGTGTGCGAGTGTCAGGCGATCACCCTCTTGCTGAGCCCAGCCCAGGCCCTTGGTCCATGCATTCTGCCCTGGAGGTGCCTTGGTATTTATATCCCGCCTTTCATTTTCTTGTGTGAGGGGAACAGTTTTTTAATAAGAACATTATTCTTGTTCATTGTTTTTGTTTTGTTTTGTTTTTGGTGTGTGTGTGTACTTACCATCTCAAATTAATTCTTTATTGGGCCTTGAATATTAAAGCTAACTACGATGGCATTAGAGGCAAAGATTTAAAAATACTTAACAGGTGATTAAGTTGTCAAAATTTTTGTCCACATAAATGGACTTTTATTTATTTTAGAAGTTACCGTGTCTCTTGTGTTTTTCTGCTTTGTTGAGGCAATCTGGGAAAGAAATAAAGATATTTGGCTGCAGGGCTGGGGATTTGGCTCAGTGGTTCCGCCACCTGGTGCAAGGACCCGAGTTCAATCCCGGGTACCAAGAAACAAAAAGACAAAACAAAACAAAAAAGGTATGGCTACATATTTGAATTTCCAAGTTTTTTGCTCACAGACACATTCAGAGATAACATTAGCAGAAGGGCGCATTCCCTTTACTTCTGGGAACTTTTAAACTTGTCCAATACGGTGGAACATCTCATAGTATATATGAGCTACTCTACTGGCGTTCCTTTGGCAAACTGGGAAATTAGTGTTGCTCCTTGGTAGTAATTTCAGTTCTAAAAATGTATTTTTTTTTGTTTTTGTTTTTGTTTTTTGGTTTTTTGAGACAGGGTCTCACTATGTAGTTGAGACTGACCTGGAACTCACTGTGTAGCCCAGGCTGGTCTCCAACTCACAGTGATCCTCCTGCCTCAGCCTCCTGAGTGCTGGGATTACAGGCGTGTGCCACCACGCCCAGCTCTAAAAATGTATTTGTATTCCAAGGTTTGTGTAGGGTGACTATAAAATTTTAGTGTGGAGCCTGAGTTTGAACTCCTGGTAAACAGCGCTTTGAGTCCTTGGAGTGGAATGACCTGTTAATTAAATTGTAAAGGGAAAGTAAAATGGATGGGTGCGACTCCAAGCCAGAGGAGGTGAATGTTATTCTTGTAATTAAACAGGAGTCAGTTTCCTTACCTCCCTGTTGGGAGTTCGCCAATACCTGGGAGGAGGGCACCTGTACCAGGTCCACACATGCTGTGCACAGCAGCTGCTGTTACGGCTGTCCTGTGCAGCATGACCTGTGGCAGGGGTGGGCTCGGCATCGTTATCTCCACCCTCAGGAAGAAGGTGACAGATCCTCTATCAGAAGGGCTCAGGGGGTGCAGGTGGCTGGGTGGAGTTGGGAGTCAGGCCTGATAAGGCCAGCAGGGGATTCCGATAGCACTGGGTTGGTTCCAGTTTAGGGTAACCCTTGGTGCTTTCCTTCCCACGTTCTGTCCCACATTCCTGTCAGCAAGTGGTCAGTGACTAGAAGTTAGGCATAACGGTAAAGAAAAGGGCTTTTCACTATTTAGCTTGGTGTTAAGTCATTTTTATTTTATTTATTTTTGTTTTTTGTTTTTTTGAGACACGGTCTCACTTTATAGTTCATGCTGGCCCTGAACTCATTATGTAGCTCAGACTGGCCTCAAACTCTTGCAATCCTCCTGCCTCTGCCTCCCGAGTGCTGGGATTACAGGTGTGAGCCACCATGCCTGGCTAAGTGATTTTGTTTTTTGGTACTGGGGATCGAACTCGGATCCCTGAGTTTGCAAGGCAGGCGGTGGAACCACTGAGCTAAATCCCCAGCCCTCTAAGTGATTTTTAATACAGCAGTTTATTTGCCAAAAAATAAAACCACACAAACCTGGAAAGAGTTTGCTGTACTCATTTTCAGGCGGTGTGAATCACCACTGGCCTGTAGGTTTTGCTGAGTGAGCCTGGACTGTCCACAGCCGCCAGGGCTTCAGGCCCCACTGACCTGGGGAGAGCAGCAGTGCCTCTGGGTCCTTGCCTTCCTCCAGCCTATCACTCAGTACTTTAATTTCCTCTGCCTCCTTTTTAGTAGCAGTACAGACTTTAGCAGAAGAAATGTGCTTTGCATCAGGAGTTAAGCACAAGCCTAGGAAACAAGCTTTCTGAACAAAATTGAAATTAATGCAGTAACTGAGTTTTATTGAGGCATGTTTTGCACTTAAAGGCCCTGAACTCTGCATGTGGTTGTTTTCAAGCTTATATTAGCTGGCTACCATGATTGTGTTACTTAACCTATCTGTGTAAAGGTGATATTATCTGCCTTGTGTCGTTTATAGCATCTCTGAGAGGCAAAGGGAGAAAACATTGTGCAATTGTAATCTTTCGACAGGCGTTTTTGAGCTATGTGCCAGGTTGTGCTGGGTGACCGAGTGGATGACTTGTAGTCTGGTCCCGTGTGGGCTTACTGCCGCGTGGGATGCACATGCGTGATGGAAAACTCAGGTGCAGTTACCAGGCCTTCACAGCGGACTGTGGTCTGGACCACTGCTGCCGTGGGCCCGAATGGAGGCCTGTACAGCGGGTCAGGCTGCGAGAGGCCTCTCGTGCCGAGTGCAGGCGTTTGCGCTTCGCTTTGTTGCCTGCATTTCTAGGTGGGTCCTCCTTGCAGACCTTGTTCATGAGCTTCTGAGTGTCAGAGGGACAAAGATGAATCTTGGCTCCGTTTCTGTGCGTGTGCTCTCACTTTCCTCCTCCTCAGAGCTGTTGCAGTGCTAGTGATGTGTTTGTGAGTATGGAGAGGGAGGTGGTGGCCGCAGCGTGCATCATGCTCCACACTTCACTGTGCACTGCGCCTTTTTAAGGACATCAAAGGGCACAGCCTCGTGCACAGTTGGGAAAGAGCTGCTGCCTGAATGGAGAAATGCTGGTGGCTGAAGCTGGGGTGTAGGACACCATGAATGTAAACCGCCGAGAGGGGCTGTGTGTGTGGATGACACCGGGAGAGAAGCGGGCGGAGTCGGCTGCTGCTGGAACCCAGGAGCAGATGAAGAGAGTCTGTCACAGCAGGGGCAGCGTTTACAGGGGTGAGCGTCTGGAAATTTGGAGCAGGGTTCAGTAAGCAGAGAGCGGACTCCAGGGTGCCTTCCAGCCTCAGGTAGGAATGCGTGGAGATCCCAGGGTGCTTGTGAGCTCACTCATTCATCGGGGCTTCTTCAAGGTCTTCTGACCTGAACCCACTGATGCGCCGGGGCTCTGAGTGCTAATCGCTGGTCACTGCAGATTAGAAAGGTACTGTGTATGCTATGGTTGTGTGTGATGCCCCCCAAAGCCTCATGCAATCACAGGGGGGCTTTTGCAGAGGTGGCTGGATGTAGGGTGTGTGATGCTGGGCTTGATTCATGGTGCAGTGCTAGGCCCATGGGCCCTAGATTACGGGTGTGAGTGCCGCCTGCCCTGAGTCTTCTGGAGAAGGTAAGTGGGGCAGGAAGGTTGTCAGGGCTCCTTGTTGCTTTGCTACCTTCTGTCCATCATGAACTCCTGGGCTGCTCTGCCTTGGAGCCAGCCAACTATAGACTGAAGCCTCTGTGAACTTTAAGCCAAATAAACCTTTCCTCCCTCCACTTGCGGGTGTCAGACATTTTGCCTCAGCGATGAGAGAAAAGTTAACTAAGACAGTATGTAAATACTTTCTTTCTTGTTACCACTTCAGTCAGGGCCCAGTCAGAGTGTGGCAATGGAGGCAGAGGAAGACGCTGTGGATATGGAAGAGGACTCCAGCTTCTGTCCCTCAGAACCGATGCTGTGCAGTGAGGCGGCAGAAGGGCAGGTGCCCCACTCGCTGGAGACCCTGTACCAGTCAGCCGGCTGCTTGAGTGCCAGTGATGCCCTGACGGTGCTGATCCATCTGCTGATGGTGGAGTCGGGGTACCTCCCTCAGGTGAGGCCATGAGAGCGGCCATACCCCTTTCTCGTGAGTGAGGGCACATTGGTGCTTGTGTTCTGGCCTGGGCATCAGGCATCAGGTGCCAGGCAGTGAGAGGCTGTTGTCAACATTCGGTAAATGCGCCTTTTCCTCTTTCCCTCATTTTTCCTCCTTCATTTCCTTTGTCCGTGTGAGTGGTACAGAGGGGACAGTGACGGTGCTTTTAGAGACAAATGGCCACCAGTGGTGATATGTGGGTCAGATGAGATCAGTGGGTGTGGCTTGAGGTGCCTCCTGCGTGGCTCTCTGGGTGACTGCTTAGGGCCCCAGCTTGGGAAATGCAGGAGCTGGGCACAGTGGGCTGGGAGGAGGACTCTGCTGTCCTCCTCCACCCCTCCAGTCTGTATCCGTCAATAGGCAGCCTCTGGGGTCAGGCAGCGCTCTGTCCCTGGTCCAGGCTGCCCTCCCGTGAGAGTGCCAGGCACAGGCAGGCAATAAACCATGTTTGTGTGACGGTGGAGTTCTGGGAAAGGCATCTGCATGGGGAGCACGCCCCGGCTTCATGGGGAGAGCGTGTGGAGTGGAGCCTCAGCCCTGATGTTGGGCCCTCAGAATGCGGGCTGTGCTCAGTAGAGCTGGGTGGGCCATGCTCTCCCGGCAGTGCCTGTGCTGCTGGAGCCAGGGCTCACCAAGCACAGAGCCATCCAAGGTCCTGTGAGCCTGAGGCCTGCCCCGCACTGAGCCACCGAGTAGGACCCTCTTCCCATGGGGACCCTCTTCGCCCTCAGGAAGTCTGTAAGTGTGCAAGTGACAAATAGAAATACAGCATCACAGACACCTATACCAGAAATATGAGCAGAAGGTTGGGGGTGGAGGAGGGTTTCGGAAAAGGCTTTACACAGGAAGTGGTTTGAGCTGAGCTCTTGAATAATGCGAATGGCTTTGCTAAGTGGAGTCGTGATTGCAAAGAGAAGGAAGCCTGATCTCTGATTTACCCCACCTAGTCTGACAAAGTGAGAGGTAAAAATCTGTGGTACGGTCATTTGCTGTTAGTAAGTCTTAATGGTGCAGCCCATTTTAATTAAGGAAATGTTTATTTCTGAACAGGTCAGGCACCTTTGGATTTTACCTTTTTTTGAGGGCACCGTCTTCCTTCCTTTCATCTTTCCCTTTCACTCTGCAGGGGACAGAAGCCAAAGCAGCATCCATGCCGGAGAAGTGGAAGGCGAGCGGTGTGTACAGGCTGCAGTACACACACCCGCTGTGTGAGGGCAGCACTGCCGTGCTCACCTGCGTGCCTCTGGGCAGCCTGGTCGTCGTCAATGGTAATGGGCCGCACTGAGGCGGTGCCGGTTCGGAGCTAGCGTGAGCTGGGAACTCAGGTGTTTGGCTCCCAGCGTCTCGCGGCCACATCAGGGCCTGGGAGTCGGGTCCCAGCTGTACCTCTTTCTCCACTTTGTCTCATCCCTCGACCGCTGCCGTGTGCTGGGAGAGGCGACGGAGCATGAGGCCGGTTCTCCGCCCCGAGGCTTCGCGCTTCCATCTCTTTCTCTGGGGGCGTTAGCTAATCAGTGAAGCGGGTCTGTGACGCAGGCTCTCTGTGAAGACTGTGTTCCTTTTTCTGGCTGTCTATAGATGGCTTTCGGTTTTTATTTTTTCAGCAGAAGTCTTGAACACAGGTTGTCCCTACTCGTCTGGCTTGGCATCTCTGGGCACCACATGCAGCAGCGCTGCCTGCTCCTGAGCTCAGGGTGTGGCTCTGCCTCCCCGTCCCGAAGTCGCGTTGCATTGTCTTGCTGCCCTCTTGTGTGACAAGCTCTTCCTGGGACAGGACACACCCACCGTGGCTCTCACTGAGCCCAGGTGCCGCTTGGGTTGCTCCATGGTTGCTGGAGTGGTCTTGGCCTCACTCGCGCTGGCGATGCACCCGGGGACCAGTTCCGCCCTTCTTTCTAGGTTTCATTCGATTTTTGGTCTTTATCCTTTTGGCTGAAGTAGCATGGTAAGATTGAATGATTGCATTTTTGTTTTGTTTTTTGTATTTCAAAAAATTGCTTTTTTCTGCTGAGACTTACTTTGATAGCTGCTAATACGGACGGTAGTTCTGGGTCCTATTTTAGATAATTTTTGCTCTCTCCTTTTTATCACCAGAGTCTTTGAAATGTTACTTAAATGTCTCAGACTTTAAGCGTTAGCAGCTCTAGATCCCCATCTGCAAGGTGTGACTGTCTGATAGCCCAGTCCCTGGCCGCAGCGTTCGGAGAGCGCAGTCACTGCGTGCATCGCACGCCGCCTCACTGCTCTGTGTGCCTCAGGTTCTCGCAGGAGCCTTCCGGGGTGTGCGTCCTAACTCTGCTTACCCAGGGTTCGATGGTCTCCTGTGTTTCCCGCTTTGTTCCTTCCCCGTTCTTGGCATGCCAGCAGATTGCAGGCCCACACGGCCTGCTGGCCCTGCTGTGCCTGTGTCTCCCTGGTGCCCTGGGCATCGTGCATGTGCGGCTGGGCCTCACTGCTTTTTTGACAGAGCCCATGAAATGTGCCTCTGTGCAGGGCTCCCGCTGGGCGTGGCCCTTTGGGTCCAGAGAGCAATGCTGCGGTGCAGACTGGCAGGATCCCCTTGGTGAGCAGGGAGAGGCCCACTGCCGGGGCACGGAGGCATGAATGGTGTCTGCCCTGACTGTTGTGTTTGGTTGCCTCCTGTTAACCTTACTGCCTGTCTTCCCTGGCTGACAAGCTGCCACGGGTGTACTTGGAGGGCTGCGCGTAAGGTGCCTGCTGTAGTTGGGAAACATAATGTGGAGGGTGATACGCTTCATGGTGGCAGGTTTACACCCTTGACCTTGCTGCAAGGGAAGAGAGGCAGGGAGCAGTTTGCGTTGTGTGATGTGTCCTCGGGATACTGTGGGAGGGCGTGCTGGAAAAGGAAGGCAGTGAATGGGTGGACACAGTCTTTAAGTCATCTCTCCTTATTTACAGCTACACTAAAAATCAACAATGAAATCAAAAGTGTGAAAAGACTGCAGCTGCTGCCGGCATCCTTTATTTGCACAGAGGAACCAGGTGAGGTATTGTGGTGTAACTTGGGGTGGAGCTTTGAGTGGTTTGGAAGCAGAGCACTCCCTAGAGTGACTAAGGTGAATTCCAGGCAGTGTCTCTCAGGGAGAGCTGGCCGGACCTTGGGCTTTGATTTGAAGCCCTGGAGACTTATGCTTATGAGTTTCCAGGGGGACGAGACCTGGGAGACTGAGTTACGTAAAACTGATGGGAAAAGGAGACAGACAGAGTATTTATAACGGTAGCACCAGAGCTTGGGCATTAACTGACAGGAACACTTAATGTCAGACTAGACCGGTATTAACTTTGTTATGCTTTCGCTCTCCTGAGAAGTGATAGTAAATTTGTAGATTTTTGTGGATTTTTCTTCCTTAGTCGGTCTCCTTCATAATATTTTAATGCTACATGAGTACAGTATACGTCCTAGTGTAGCGGCTGGGCTGTATTTGCTATTCCTAGACTCAGTCTCTGAGTCCTCGGGATGCATTCCTTAGTCGGTCTCCTTCATAATATTTTAATGCTACATGAGTACAGTATACATCCTAGTGTAGCGGCTGGGCTGTATTTGCTATTCCTAGACTCAGTCTCTGAGTCCTCGGGATGCTTTTCCTTGGCCCTGCTCAGATGGCTGGATCTGTAAGTACGGTTTTTTTCTGTCAGGAACAGAACAACTTGGAATCCTTTGGCTGGAACTCCTATTCATCTCCATACGGAGAGGGCCTCCCAATGGGAGAGATGTTCCAGTCTTTTGCAGTTTTTTATGCTCATTTTGTAGATCAAGAAATGGCTTTAGGGTTGAAATAGATATTTCTGATCCCCAGCCTTTTAAAATCAACTTTTCTTTTTCCTTAAAACAACTGTTCTTTTTCTTGTTTCTCTTAAATAGGGGAAAGGGAATGAAAAGGAGGCCAAAAGTTAATATCTTTGTGTAAATTTATGGATTAATAAAGTACTTTAAAAAAAGTGCTTTTATGTTGAGTAGGAATATGCTGTTTATTTGGCAAGTCGTTTTAATAAATTTTATCATGGTTTATAGTTTAGACTCTAGAAATGATCCCTCAGTACTGTTATTTAGGCTTCTAAGATGCTAATTAAATATTTATATGATAGATCGCTAAAAGAAGTGATTTAAAGAAAGTCAGTTTTTACACTTGAAAAGGTCTTGAACTGAATTGATTTGTTTTGTTTATTTGGTAGCGGGGATCAAACCCAGGACCTTGCGCTTGCGAGGCAGGCAGCGGTACCACTGAGCTAAATCTGGCCCTTGAATTGATTTTTAAAATGTCTTGGCATCATATTTTAAACTCCGATTGGAGAGTCACACAAGCAGGCTCAGAGTTTAGCTGCACAGCTCTTTCTTCATTCTGCCCAGTCAAATTAGAGGCAGCGTGTTTACAGATGGTGAGACGTGTCTCTGCGGAAAGGCCAGAGAGTAGGGCACACTGCGGCCCTGGGCGCTCTGTGTGGGGCTCACGCTGCAGAGCTCTTTGGGGGGTGGCGTGTCCCCTTTGACAGCTGAGGTGAGTGGGCCCGTCGTTGTCCAGGGTTAGGTGATGGGTGATGCGGAAGTGGGAGCCTCGGTGCTGCTCCACAGAGAGCTGTCAGTGCCCCATTCCGACAGACCGGGGCTGCAGTGGAGCCGACAGTCAGTAGTCACTGACCACACTGGTGGTGGCAGCTCTGGTGACCTGTGGCCCACAGCGAGGAGCAGCAGAGTGGCTTGACATGAATGCTTTGTAGCAGATGCACTGGGTTTGTGCCTTGCACTGCCCCTCGAGGTGGGCCTGGGAACAGGCTCTGTTTCAGATGGGGCAGTAGCCAGTATCTGTCACCCACTTAGGAGAGCAGCTGCTGCTGCGGGAGGGCTGAGGGCACGGTCATCATGTGGTGAGCACCAGTGTTGGGAAGGACGCAGCTCCGGGAGAGCCGTTCCCGCTGTGCAGGGCCCTGGGGCGTGCGTGCGCAGATGCCATACACAGCAGCAGTTCTGCACACGTAGCTTGTGAGCTCTAGGTTGCCAGCAGCCAGTTAATTTGGAACCAGGGCCTGGTGCTTTCTGTCTAGGACTCATTCTGCCATCAGGCACCGTCCCTTCTGCTCCACTCGGGTACGGTGTGTCAGGGTGAGCATCGTTTGGGTGCCTGTGTGGACCACTTTGGTTTAGAAGACAACTTTTCTGCTTGATTTTGTGTTTTGATTTTTTAACTTTTAAAAAATAATCTAGGGGAAAATGCAGCTGAGGTATACAGAGGTCTTCAGAAGCTCTCCCGGCTCTTCAAAGACCAACTGGTGTACCCACTCCTGGCTTCCACTCGGCAAGGTGAGCAGGGACGGCTGCCACACGACGAACATCTGGGACCAGGTGTCGGCGCCCAGACGTGCAGCGACTCTGACCCTAAGCTCTGTCCTCACCTACTCTGCTCTTTGAAGGCGAAGCTTCTATGTGCCTGCCTGAAATGTTACCTACTTCCTCTCTGAATGTGTTTCCATAGCATTTTGTGTGTATCTTTATTGTAGTGCTTTTGCAGTGTACCACTATTCTTTTTTTTTTTTTTTTTTTTTTTTTTTTTTGGTATCCAGGATTGAACTCGGGTCCTTGCACTTGCAAGGCAGGCAGCAGCACCACTGATCTAAATCCCCGACCCCCCCCCTTAGCTTGTAGGTGTTGGGCATTTAGTCTTAGTAGTGAGAAAGTAACTAGCACAGGTACTGAGTCTGAAATCATAAAATAATTTTCATTTGACTTTGAGATGTGTTCTTTTGTTCCTTTTTGTTTGTTTGTTTGTTTTTAAGTAGTTGAGACTGACCTGGAACTCACTGTGTAGCTCAGGCTGGTCTCGAACTCACAGTGATCCTCCTGCCTCAGCCTCCTGAGTGCTGGGATTACAGGCGTGCGCCACCACGCCTGGCTCTCTCTTGTTCCTTTTCCTGGCTTTGTCTCCAAATCTCTGTCTTGCTTTTCTTCAGCCTCTTTCACGTGGAGTGTAGTGAGCGTGCCCCTTGACACTCGTGACGTGCCGGGCACTGTCCTGCACACTGGGCTGTGTAGCAGCATGTGTAGTTCTCACAGTGAGGTAGGTGGTGTGTGCACTGCCATCGGCACATTTTATAGATGAGGAAATTGAGCGAGACACAGCCTAAGAACTTGTCCCAAAGCACGCAGCTGCTACGTGGGATTTGGAGCTGGTTATAAAAGCCGGTGGATGCTCCACTTCCTGCAGTTAGAGGAACTTTGATGCGTTGGGTGTTGCGTGGTAAGTATTTAGCAGCTGAAGGTTATTTCATCGGTATTAAGAATTACGTTCCACAGCTATGAAGGGAGTGGGGGGGCAGCGCCGTAAGTGAATAGTCACTGAGGAGCCTGAGCCTGGGGTTCGAATTCAGCTGGAGATGACGCCTGCTTGGATAATGGGGACCGGCGTCTGGCTTGTCACCTCTTCGGCAGGAACAGCGGCAGCTCTGGCCACCGTGGGAGCCCGCATGCCCTTGGCCAGCAGTCTCTGTTGCCTCTCTCTTCCAGCCCTGAACCTCCCGGATGTGTTTGGCCTGGCTGTCCTCCCCTTGGAGCTGAAGCTGCGGATCTTCCGCCTCTTGGACGTCCGCTCCGTCCTGTCTCTGTCTGCGGTCTGTCGCGACCTCCTCATGGCATCGAATGACCCGCTGCTGTGGAGGTGTTTGTACCTACGGGATTTTCGAGGTGATTTTCGTGACGTCGTAACAAGAAAAGGGCTCTTCCCTGCTGAGGTCCTAGTTTCTCTCTCAGCTTCCTGAAAGGTTTTAGCTGTGGATTTCCGTGTTAGAGCTGCATGTGATGAGGGATGGCCTTGGAAGGGCGAGCCTGAGCCTCCCATGTCTTTGCTTATGTCCCCAGACAAGCTTGTCACGCGCGCTCTGCAGCACGTGTGACGCAGGGTACCGAGAAGGCGGGTTACTTCTGGCCAGTGAACCGGAAGAGCCACGGGTTTCTGGCTGAGACCGTCGCAGCTCCTCACTTGGAGGTGACCTGCACTCTGGCTCTGTGGGCAGCCCGGTAGCCACATCCCTGAGGTCGCGTTGTGTGACTCGTGCTGTCGCGGAGGCTGTGGCGATGGTCCAGCGAGCGGCACGGGGATGTGTAGTGCGGGGCCTGAGGCCTGGCTGTGCCGCTGCTCCTCTGCCACCGTTTTGCTACTCGTCAGTGCTTTGCAATCTGTTGTTCAGTCCTGCGTTGGGTCCTGAAGTCAGCCTGATGAGGTGTTTTATAAACAGACAGGATACCTAAAAATCCAGGTATTATTTGATAAAGAATATTCGTTTATAAAATGGGGGTGAACTGCCATTCAGTCCTATATGTTGCAGTTAAAGTGATTTCTGATGTGGCTCACTTCAGCAAGTCTGAGGGTAATGTGCCCGGTGAAACTCGCTATAAGAATGAGGTGGGCAGGTCTGCTCCCCACCTCCTTGATTTTTGTTTTGTTTTGTTCTTTAGGTTTTTTGAGACAGGGTCTCACTATGCAGTTGAGACTGACCTGGAACTCACTATGTAGCCCAGGCTGGTCTCGAACTCACAGCGATCCTCCTGGCTCAGCCTCCCGAGTGCTGGGATTACAGGCATGTGCCACCATGCCTGGCTTCCTCATTTTTTAAAAATAGAAGAATATCATGTGGTTTCATTTGGGCTGTTAAATTTTTTTTTCAAACTTAAAAATGTAAGAAATATGAACGACTTAGTTTCCTATTCCTCTTCTTCGATTCTTAAGACCTTATTCTGCTTTATCCAAAGTTTAAAATGCTGTTTTGTCACAGTAGAGAACAAATGTCATTTAAAA